TTTTCAAATGGGGAAAATTTTGTCCCCCAGGGAATGTTTGGCAGTATCTGGAGACATATCCAGCTGTCATAACTTAGCAGGTGCTACTCACATCTAGTGGGCAATGGCTAGGAATGCTGTTAAACAGCCTACAATTCTGCAAACAACCTCCAACAACCAAGAATCATCCAGCCCCAAACATCAATACCTCTGTTAATAAAAACCAAAACAAAAACAAACAAGCACCTGATATAGAACAAAAGTTGATCACAGCCACTGCCACTTGTGTTGCTATGGGTAGATCCCTCTTCCATCTTTGCTTTCCCTGACTCTCCACGAATGTTAGGTCTCAATTTTTTTCTCTGTACATCAACAGTCTACATATCAGGTTTGATGAGTGCCTTTGAAAAATATTATAACATTTGCAGCACTGGAGTCATGCTAGGATCCTTTCTGCAATGAAGTATTTTCACTTATTTTCTTCTTTTCAATCTTATCAATCACCTGCCCCTAGAATCTGGGTGGTCCTAACCTAGACCTCTTGCTGGCCTAGATTTAGACTATGTGGTTGTCTTTCCTTATCTTGACTAATCTTCCCGAATCTTACATTGTGCCTTAATTTGAACATCTGCACCTCTAATGTCTGCTTATATTACCTCCTTGGCTCACAAGGACTTTGTGGGACAGCTGCTCACATCTCAACATGTAAATAAAATGTGCCACTGGGTCATCACAGGCGAGCTGATTCCAACGTTAACAAGTTGGTCAAGGTAACTGTCAGCTGTTTATTTTTATTTCAATGTCTTCCGTTAAATTATAACACATGGATTGAGAAACTAAACACTAACATGCAGAGAGGAAAAAAGCAAAAATAAAAATATATGGTGGTAATACAAACAATATAATGAATTCCAAATACTATGGACATTCAAAAATTAAGTACAGTGATATAAAAATAGTCCATTATGAAAAGCTCTGTTTTAAAACCCCTGAGAGCAGAAAAAAATACTTTTAGTTTCAGTCAATTACTTTCACAAATTTAAGATTAAGCAAGTGCAATTTCTTTTTTTCTGGGGGGCAGGGGAGATGGACTCTTGTTCTGTCACCCAGGCTGGAGTGCAGTGGCGCAATCTCAGCTCACTGCAACCTCCGCCTCCCAGGTTCAAGTGATTCTCCTGCCTCAGCCTCCCAGGTAGAAGGGAATACAGGTGCCTGCCACCACACTTGGCTAATTTTTGTATTTTTGGTAGAGACAGGGTTTCGCTATGTTGGCCAGGCTGGTCTCGAACTCCTGACCTCTGGTGATCGCCTGCCTGGGCCTCCCAAAGTGCTGGGATTGCAGGCAGCAAATGCAACTTATAAAGCAATAGCTTTATTACTAAATAAACCTAGAAATAGCAATAAATCTAGAAAATAGCTTTATTTTCGTAGTTTACTACATCATTTCAAAACTAATGTCATTCTTCTTAAAATAAATATAATTGATTTAATAATGCTGTTAAAAGAAATAAGTAACTGGGCATTAAGAAAGGCTGCAAAGCATAATGGTTAACAGCACAGACTGGGCACCAAGCTGCCTGCATTTAAAACTGTAAGCTCCAGCTCAGGAACTGTGATCCTGGTCAGTTCACTTCATCTCTTTGTGCCTCTCTTTCCTCACCTGCAAATTACAAATAATAACAGTACCCAACTGATTGAGCTGTTATAAGAATTAAGTTATTTAGAAATACAAACATGGTACATAGTCAACATCATGAGTTTGTTAAGTAAATAATTAGCAATATTTTAAAAATATTAAAATAAGTAAACAACTAAGCTTTTATGAATCAAAGGCCATGTTTTCATTCTCCCAGACACAATAATCCATATGTTTTCCAGTCTCAAGAATCTTTGGATAAGTATATATGTAAAGAGCCAGACCAAAGTCCAAAATTTACAATTAACATATTGTATTTGAATCTCTCTACAAGAAACATTTTATCCTAACAGAGAGGTTAACTTCAACAATGGCCAGAGGGAAAAAGAAAATAATAAGTAACAACATAGAAATGTCGTAACTATTGTTTATAGACAAACACGAATAATAAAATCAATATTGATACATATCAAACAACATTATGAAAATATGAAAACACTCCATTTACAAATAGTAAGTTAAAAATCTTAACAACAGGGCCGGGCACGGTGGCTCAAGCCTGTAATCCCAGCACTTTGGGAGGCCGAGACGGGCGGATCACGAGGTCAGGAGATCAAGACCATCCTGGCTAACACGGTGAAACCCCGTCTCTACTAAAAATACAAGAAAATTAGCCGGGCGAGGTGGCGGGCGCCTGTAGTCCCAGCTACTCGGGAGGCTGAGGCAGGAGAATGGCGTGAACCCGGGGGGGCGGAGCTTGCAGTGAGCCGAAATCGCGCAACTGCACTCCAGCCTGGGCGACTGAGCAAGACTCCATCTCAAAAAAAAAAAAAAAAAATCTTAACAACAGTATGAAGAAAGTCTATAGTTGATAAGGTGAAATTTGATAATCAGGAATTGGAGTACCTTGTCATATTCAACTAAATTAGACCAGAGACCCGGTAATAAAGAAAAGAAAAAAACACACTTGGGACACAAAGCACCTGCCTGGGACTAATACTGCAAGCCAGCTGCTGAAATGACCTGGTATAACTTTAAAACCAGTTTTACCTAGCAGCTTCTGAAACAAACCACCATGACTCTAAGACTAATTTACCGACCTCCATCACTCACCAGTTAGAGCTTGTAAGCTCCCAAAAACTTTGTTACTGCTAATAATGAGTTTTCTTCCAAAAGAATATATAACATTTCTCTCTAATAAAACCTCTAAGCTTCTCTTGGTTTTTCAGTCATACTGAAGACCATTCTACTCTCTGTGTATGCCCTGAACTCCAATTCTGTTCTACCAAACAGAACATTTTGTTTAGAGATTCATCTCGATATTTTTATTTTACATTGACACTAAAAATTATAAATGTATCTTCAAATTTAAATTCCATAGTTCAGTAAAGGTAGCTTCTAAAACCAAACTTTTTGATGGCAAGGCAACTAGAGCAACAACCTACATGGAAATGTAACCGTTCAGTGCCCGACTCTGAGATCTAATGTTTCTAAATTAACGTCAAATCTTTTCTTTTGTCAAAAACAAATCCAAACTTAAATGAAGACATTATTTTTATTATTATTATTATTTGACAGAGTCTCACTCTGTTCCCCAGGCTGGAGTGCAGTGGCTCAACTTCAGCTCACTGAAAACTCCAACTCCTGGGTTCAAGCGATTCTCCTGCCTCAGCCACCCAAGTAGCTGGGACTACAGGCATCCGCTACCATGCCCAGCTAATTTTTGTATTTTCAGTAGTGACAAGGTTTTGCCATGTTGGCCAGGCTGGTCTTGAACTCCTGACATCAAGTGAACCACCCACCCTGGCCTCTCAAAGTGCTGGGATTACAGATGTGAGCCACCATGCCCAGACTGAAGACATTATTTTATAAAAGACTATTGCAATAGAGAAAAAGCTCCAAACTTAAGATCTGCAAGCCTCCCAAAAGTAAACAGAAAAAGGTTATTTTTTAATATGGGATAAGCAATGAAGCAAGAACTTTTTAGGGAAATTGGGCAAATGAAAGAGTGTACACAGACAGTATGACCAGGCTGCAGTCAGCCAATTCTCAAGATTCTTTATTTTAATGCTTGCTCGGACTAGAGGGCAAGCCACATTTCACAGGTCTGTAAGGAAGAAAAAGGACAGACTAAAGTTTAATCAAGCCAAGACAGAGGTAAGTAATGGATAATGGCAAACAATTAGTCTCTCTATAACAGTGGGAATACGGCTTTAAATAGCACTATTTAGAATAAAAGAATAGGAGTTAAACCCTCCAAACAGGTTAAGTAAGTAAATAACCAGCCTGGTAACAATTAAAAAGTCCATTTTTTTGTTCCTGCCCTGAGCATTGACCGTTTTGTTTCCAGGCCACAGCTGTACTGGTTGAGTAAGGGGTGCCCTGCTGCTGACATTGCCAGGCTGGTTAAAGAATGTGCAAACTGCTTTCTCACATGAGTCTCTTAAAGAAACATTTCATCATAACAGAGGCAACCAACAACTAGAACGTGAAAAAAGTAAAAGAACATAGGAAAATTATAATAATTATTTTTTTACAATAATAAACTCCATACATTGGGAACAAACAAAACTCCATACATTTGGGAACAAACAAAAGCTGTACAAAGTTACAAAAATGCTCCCTCAAAAAGCTCAATGCAAACATTCCATTCTTATCAGATTTGGAAACAGACAGGTACGCACACACACACTTTCTATTCATATTAAACAGAAATAGAGAAACAGTTCATAAGACTAGAGGATAGTTAAAAACTAGATGTGTATTTGGAAAAACCTAACTATTGATTTAATAGCTAGGTTTGTGATGTTTTAAATTCTAATTATACAATTTTAATATTGTTCCTAAACCAGATTAATCACTCTTAGGAATTTAAAAGACTGAGATTACTTTGGAAACATGGAATCCAAAACTGTGAAAGAAAAAGCAGAGAAAGCAGGGCTGGGTTTAATTTTGGAGTTCCTTTCTTGCTTCTCCTTAGCACAGTGACTCATTTGATATCATCTTTACTTTCTCTGGCTAAAGGTCTTCCAATAGATACACAAATTCTCTTCTTGACCTACAGTGATGTAATGGATGTACCAGCAGGAATTAATGAAAACATAAGAGTATCCGCAAATCAAAATTGATTCTCCCTTTTCTCAGGTATCCATTTTCTGGGGAGCCATTCTTAGCCCTAGCATGTCTGGAATATTTTCCTCCTTTGTGGGCCCCCAGTAAAACATCCTCACCACATGAGATTCCCAGCACACTACTGGTATGTTTTTCCCACCAGGCCAGGAACAGGGATTACCACTTCACAAAGCAAAAAGCAGCAGCTTTGTTTAAGAAAAATTGCTTAAACCCTTATTTTGGAATTGCCTTATTTGAAACATGATACATTTACCAGTCAGTGATATGTTATGACTCTCCCAGGAAAAGTTATTTGCCATCATTTCTTCTCTGAGAGGTAGACTTGTAAAAGGCAAATCTATAAGAGAAAGAACACGTGATTACACACTCTTACCAAAAGTAAATGACTATCTAAAAACTACTTTGCAACAGCTAAAATACTGTTGAGAACTATTAATGAAAAACCGTGTTTTAAGAAAGCTCAAAGTCTTATATACTTCAAAGACATTTAGAGACATATTAGACTATTAAATGTGAAAAAAATTTCTGATTTTTTTTTCTTTTTTAACCTAAAAATCCCTACTGACTTACATCAGATGGCTTTTTTTTAAAATAACGCCTTCCATTTTTATTACACTATTATAGTTTTTTACAAAACATAAATAAACTGAAGATAACAAAGAATTATATGAGAGAGCCAGAAAATGGAAAGACATGAAGAGGCAGAGAGAGAAGATGAAAGAAGAGGACAGGCAGACCTTAATAGAGGGAATTAAAAAAAAAAATGGACATCAAGGAACAGAGAAGATAAAATGGCTGACAGGCCACTTTGGGTTGCTATTTGTTTTCCAGCTACGGTTACCAAGAGGCATGCCCTCTATCACCTGAATTTCAGTTTCCTCTGCCTCTGTCACTTCTCTCTCCTTTGGAACTTTCATTAAAGAAACAAGGTTTCTATTTCCACCTCTCTCACTCTCCTCGAAGCTACTTTATTTTATTTTATTTTTATTTTTTATTTATTTTTGAGACACAGTCTCACTCTGTCGCCCAGGCTGGAGTGCAGTGGCGTGGTCTCAGATCTCTGCAACCTCCGCCTCCACAGTTTAAGCGATTCTCCTACCTCAGCCTCCTGAGTAGCTGGGACTATAGGCGCCCGCCACCACGCCCAACTAATTTTTGTATTTTTAGTAAAGACAGGGTTTCACCATGTTGGCCAGGATGGTCTCAATCTCTTAACCTCATGATCTGCCTGCCTCGGCTTCCCAAAGCACTGGGATTACAGACGTAAGCCACCGCTCCCAGCTGACAACATGGCCTACTGTTCCTTTTATTTTACAGTACCAGACCTTACCTTCCAGGAAACCACTCAAATATATCAAACAAGTCAGAGAAGATGGAAAAAAGGCTTATTATTATAAATTTGGCAGCATTATTTAAATTAAATCCCATTCAATTTAAATGAAACCTGAGCCATTTTTATTGCACTTTTTAAAAATAATCTGTTCAGAAAGTTATTTCTAGTACAATATTAGATTTCCAGTTCTTTCATTTTCTTATATGTATGAAAAATATAATCAAAGTTGGTGATCCCTTTCGTTACGTTAGCTTTAGAACACGGCTTTTACAATATTGCCTAATAAAATAACGTACCTGGCAGAACCTAACTCTCCAACAGGCTGTGTTCCTAAGGTTTAATCACCTCTAAAACAGCTTCCGAAGTTTAATGCACTTCCTAAACTACCATAGCACATATATACCTATGTAACAAACCTGCACATTCTGCATATGTATCTCGGAACTTATAATACTTTCAAAAAAGAAGAAAAAAAGTCCTTAAATAATGTATTAAATCAGACTACAATGATTACATAGGAAAATATGTACGGAGTTTCTCACTGGGCTATCAAGTATACAAGACCTTTCCTCCAGTCACATCTAGTATTCATTCATTCATTCATTCATTCACTTATTTATTCATTCATATTCATACCCATATTCTCCCATTCTCCCTCTCCCCCCATTACCCTCCCTCTGTCTTTTCCCCCTTCTCTCTCTTTCTCTTCCCTCCCACCCTCCCCAACTCTCTCTCTCTCAGACACACACACACACACACACACACAAACATACACACACACACTGCTTAAAAGAGAGGCTCCCATAAATGTTATTTTCCTAATGAAAATTCCTTGTTTCCATTCTTGGGGCTAGCATACTTAGAAGTTATTTTTTTTTTTTTTTTTTGAGACGGAGTCTCGCTCTGTCGCCCAGCCCAGGCTGGAGTGCAGTGGCGCGATCTCGGCTCACTGCAAGCTCCGCCTCCCGGGTTCACGCCATTCTCCTGCCTCAGCCTCCCGAGTAGCTGGGACTACAGGTGCCCACAACCGCGCCCGGCTAATTTTTTGTATTTTTAGTAGAGACGGGGTTTCACCGTGGTCTCGATCTCCTGACCTTGTGATCCGCCCGCCTCGGCCTCCCAAAGTGCTGGGATTACAGGCGTGAGCCACCGCGCCCGGCCTTAGAAGTTATATTAAAGACAAAATATTTCAGGAAGATCAAGGCAGATGATATTCACTTACGGACAGGAAGCCAGGTGGGGGTGGATGAGAAGGAAACAGCTATTCTACTATATCATCTGTTCTGTGAAGCCTGCAAAACGTAAGCTTTGGTATCTTTGCTTTCCTCCCCAGGGGTACCCCAACTACAGAGCAGAATACAATCTTAAGGGTTCTTACTATACTCTTTATCCCTGTAACAAGCCCATAACCTTTTTGAGATTTCCAGCATCATTTATTATTATTGTTCACAGTATCAGTAACAATAAGAGTGACATACACTAAAGAAAAAATGTGTTCTGTCATTCTTACTCCTATTTCACTTAAATAAGTGAAGATACACAATATCTGATGCACACTTGGTACTGATGGGGAATATGAAGCTGGGTAAACTTGGTCCCTAAAGGGCTATATGGATCATAATAGCAGGGGTTTAGGCCCACAATTTGAGATTGAGAGTCATTAAAATTTCACAGCAGCACCCATTAATGCATAGTATAGACTATAATTAGTCAGTATATTTTATACAAATTGGCACATGGGCTAGAGTGTGAAGCCTGAGCCTGGTGGTGGAAGGAGGGTGAAGATAATTTCAGGGAGATGAGCTCCAATGCTGGGGCTATTCTCCCTTACTGATCACTAGGACTTGTCATGGATGGGCTCAACAGGGACCTGTGTTAGAACAAGGAGAGAAAATGAGTCTAAGTTTGGCTTTGGCAGAATCTAAGCTGATGACAGTTGAAGGAATCAGAAAGGAAGGAAACACCAAGTTTCCAGAGGTAGGGAAGTCTGGGTATTTCCAGAATATACAAGCTATTGAGGCCATTTCCAATTGCAGGCTCACATATTAAAAATGCAATCAGACATCCATAATCCAAACAACACCAGCACCTTAACTTCATATTCCCTTTAAAGCATTAATCTTGATCAAGCTTCAGGTTCCACTGAAAACGCCCCAAGTGCAAAAGAACATATATTACTGCTGTGTGGTTTTTGCCTTGGGAAAAGTCCCTTAAAGAGGCAATATACAGAAATGCTTTAAGTGGAAAAGCAGGGCAGCCTACAGAAGGTATTAGGATAGTAAAAGAAGTTCTTTGTTTAGGCAAGATATTTTTTAACCAAGAAAGTGAGAATGTAAACCTTATTGCTTTTAGTTGGAGGACAGCTGGCAGGAGGCTGATTCAGCAAACACTGGGGTTTAAAGGAAATTGGCAGGAGGCTCAGGCAGATGTGGTTTGAATACTTCCCTAAAAGGATTAGGCTGAGTCACAAAAAGAAGTATAAAATGGAGAGGAAGGAATTTGGGGTCTTAATTCAAATTCTGTCACTGACTTGTTACTTAGGGTTTCCAAACGCAGTATGCCCAGCTCAGTGCTTTGAAAATATGTCTCCACTGTAAACCTCACCTGATAGGGAAAAAAAATGAGGATCAGAAAAGTTGCATAAATATGAGTGATGATGCCAAGATCATAACATGTATTTCTCAGTTATCAAACTCACCCTTTCTTAATCATTGCTGGAAAACTTCCATATAGCATTATTTTATAGGTAGAGACAAAAATATCAACATGAAAGAGTAACATCAAATAGTTGCTCAAGAAGTCAAAAGACTTTTTTCTCCCTTTGCAGGGCAGATGAGGCATGAGAATACCGCATCAAAGAATTGAGTAACATCTTAATTTTCACCTGCTATAATTTTCTGTGAAATAGCAAAATGGTCTCTACTTAGTTTTTCACATATTATATTTTAAAATATGTGTTGCTAGAAGGGCTTATAATTTATTCCATTAAGACTTTCAAGTGAAATAAACATGCTATAATTCTACTTAAAGATATTAAGGTAACATTTTCACATATTTCATTTTGAGGGCTTCATTTAATTGAAGTTGGGAAGAAAAATAATTAACACTAGAAAACTGCACTGGGTCTTAAGACTTGCTTTTTTAAATCAGTAAATAAATGCAACTACATCTCTGATTAAGAATAAACATTCTCTCTAAAGCCTCCCAAATCCCTTTATTATATGTAAAAATCTTGGAAGGGTCCGAACTGAATTAAGAAAAAAGTGTAACAAGCAATTACTATTAAAATAAGTATTATTCTTTCTCTTTCCTTTTCTCACCTCTATACTGATTGCTATCAACATGCAGTACTTAATGAAGCTTAATTTTAACATTCTGATATACAGCATTATAAACGTGCAACCCAATTACAGAAACACTGATAGGAATGATTATATATTATTCATAAAATGGAGATTTGGAAATGAGAATATATTTCTTCATGGAAGCAATATTATATATAACCATGTGATCCCATGCCAAATTGTAAATGCCACTTAAGCCATGATATGGTTAAACCTTAGCTGTAAAATACCTCATTACTAAGTAAAATACTGATTATACACAACACATGGAGAATTATGGGTTTTAGGAACACAGTAGCCCTATCCCCTGTCCATAAATGCAGCAGAAGGAGAAGAAAGGAAATAAGGCATATCTGAGTCCTGGAAGTTATACTCCAGAGAGATTCATCCAAAAAGGAAGAAAAACAAGGGGGACAAAAAAAAAAAGCTTGTCAAAAAATTCTAGTTATCGGGGCTGGGCGCGGTGGCTCATGCTTGTAATCTCAGCACTTTGGAGGCTGAGGCGGGCAGAGCACGAGGTCAGGAGTTTGAGACCAGCCTGGCCAGCAAGGTGAAACCCCGTCTCTACTAAAAATATAAAAAATTAGACAGACATGGTGGCGTGCGCCTGTGGTCCCAGCTACTCGGGAGGCTGAGGTAGGAGAATTGCTTGAACCCGGC